ATGACGTTAGCGAGTCTTCCGGAGAGGTATCCAGTTCTGATTCCACGGGTTCGGCAATGGATGAGTCTAGCGACAGCTCTAGTGATGAGTCTCTTGACGAAGAGGAGCTTCCAACTCATACACCCGCTCCAGAGACGAACACCCCGTTGGAGTCAGGCGGACCCGCTGAAGATGGACAACCGGAGCCAATTGAGGCAGAGGCAGGCATTCATCATGATCTTCCCGAGCGCCCGCGAACCCTAGATGCGGAGCCACGGGCGGAGCTACATTCTGAGCAGGTTGCCGATGAACAAGTCATCGAGGACCAGGGCCAAGCCTCCCGTGAATCTTCCGTCTCAGATGCGTACGAGCCTCCTGAGCCAGAAGAGACAGCTAGCCCCGCTGATTCCAGCTATTCCCCACCTTTCAGCCCTGCATCTCCCGAACCTGTTGACTCCCTTGAGGTCTCCACCGCAGATGAGACGAGACAGGCTGACGAGCCACTAACGAGAAAGGTTCAGGAATGGGATACCCAACAACCAAGTGCTTATGCTCAGGTTGGCATTCTGGATGTGCGGTGCACCTCAATTCCGCCTAAGGTGTGATGCTGACAGGATATCTAGAATCCACGGGTACCAGAGCAGTCTGAACCAAAATTCTCACCTTACGTTAGTCCGCTGAAGAATTTCAAGGCTTACCGCTACCACCCAAATTTCACTGAAAATGTTTCGGGCGGCTATCGTTCTCTAACATATAGCCACAACATCGACCCTATGAGATATCTCTGTCCATTTGAATCTTCAGGGGGAGTATGCAATGACCGGTCGTGTGAATTCCAACACTTTCGTGATATGACTCTCAGCGGTGCGTCGACAGATTTGAACCATTATTTGCAACATTTACCCATATGACCTTTGGCCATTGTCTCCCTTGACCTTTCCTTTTATCTGTCGTGCCTCCTTCCAGTCGCGCGCCTTCATTCCCCTTTTCGTTAAGCGTCTCATTTTATGTCTTCTACCCATTTGTTCTTCCCTTCGCTGTGCGGATGCTGACAGCCAGGCTTGTTAACTGCCACAGATGACAAGATCCTCGTCCAGATGGGATCTCTTCGAGAAGGCAAGACACCCGAAGAGAAGGATGAATACATTGCTGGGCTGAAACAAATCATCAACGACATGCGACGCGACAAGGTGAAAGATTTTAACACAGTGGCCACGGAAATAGCCGCATACCGTAGACGCTTTCTCCAAGACCCTTCGCGGGTACTTCCGTTGTAACAACTTGAAGAACTTGACTACTTTACGCTCTTGGAGAGAGCCACTTCTTACTTTTTGACAAGGTGAGCTGCCGGCGTCGAGCACCGGAGTGCAGACGACCAGTCCAACTAGCAGCGGCTGCTTCTAGCTCACTACCAGCAATGGCAGCGATCCCTTCTATATCGCGCCAGCCCTCCTTCCTGACCTGGAGGCTTCCTTCCCCCTCCCTGAACCTCATTGCCTTTCTTAGCGTGGCCCACACTCTTCCTTTCTGATACATGAGATCTGGTATCTCTTTCTGAAACGACACAAGTGGGCATTTTCCCGTTATCTTCATTATCTATTACTACTTGGCGTACAAAAGCGAGCCTGGAGTTGGAGGATCACATATTTCTACCCCCTTAGGAAGTGGGCGTAAGCGATTTACCCACACTACGACATCTGGCCTGGCCAGCAAGGCAGGGAGAATCGAGTCTGTGACAGTCTCGATTTTCCCTTTTCCTCTAGCCTGGGTCTTCAAGGTATGGGATGAGATTCCTTAACACGGTTATGAGCCCATTGGATGGAATGGGACTGTACAGCAGGGCGTCAGGGCATAGGGAGTACATAGCGATAGCAAATCATAATTATCTTCTACCAAGCCTCACTTGCGTGATTTTCTTAGAATCGTCAATGATAAGCAGGAAGCTAGACAAGTAAATGTCGCAAAAAACGGAGAAAAACCGCGCACTTTAACTGCGCACGATGCCCCATTGACAGAGCCGCGACTAAGAATACAGACCAAAACACCTAGAACCTCTTAGTGTCGGATAATTGGTATGGCACTGGACCGGGCGTCTAGCGTCTAAACCGGGGCAAAAGCACACCCACCCCAAGGCGCAGACCTAGAAACCTACTCCTTACTAACCCACAACAGCTAGCATACTACACTACTAGCTAGAATAGATGGATAGATAATAGATAGGAGGATAGTAGTTAGTTAGTGTAGCTTGTTAAGCCAGTCGGATAGTTAGTTATTCCCTCAATGCTAGCTAGAGCCTAGCAGCTTGCGCCCCGAATTTCTCCGCACCCGTTCATCCCCCCTGTCTGTCTGTTCATCACAATATTTTCATCAAAATTCATCGATATTAGAATTAAGTTCAGAAAATAATATATTAACCGATCATATGATCAATAAGTGAAGGATGAGTCAACCGCGCCCATAACCACCTAAGTTAGTTTAACTAGGTAGTTAGTTAATGAAAGTTACTGTTGTTGATGTGGCAGTGCTGATTTTTTCCTTGTTTCTGTTCCCCAAGCACTGGATATAAGTGATACTAACTAACCGGTACTGGTAATAGTTGGATATTATCTAATTGGTAAGTACTTACATAGTACTTAGTGATGTATGTAGTGAACTATGTAAGTAGTTAAGTTATGTATGCAAGGTTGACTCAGTTAGAAGTCTGGTGGTAGTCACCTGAACTACTAATGGACTGGAAAATATATTGTATGTTGGTGGTTAGTACTACTTACTAGTACTAGTGTGTGTGTGGCTTAACTTCGATCAATGTGTATGGTTGGTTGGGGGAGATTATTCAAGTTCAAAAGTTCATGCAAGGTATGGGAGTCATATGTGGTCTTGTGACTTAATGACTAGTAGGTCATAGTCACTGGGTTTTTCTGACTCAGGCAGAGCTGAAGCTGAAGTTGGTTCGTTCCGGGGACGGAGAATTGGAATGGATGTATCGGGAACAGTCGGGGAACGGGTGCGGGCGCGGGCGCGGGTGCGGACACGGAGGCGGACACGGGTTTCTCGTTGCTTACTTACCTACTGCATACCTACTGATGATTTATTATGTCGGTTCCGAGGAGATACTATGCACATAAGATACTAGTTACTAGATAGGTATAGCCTGGTTAGTGATAGTCGATGTAGTGTAGTGTAATAGATATGCAAGCAAGTGGGCTGGGTTTCAGCGATTGTGTTTCGGGATTATGCATAGTTGGTGAGGGGGGAGGAGGGGGATTTGCAGATGGGATTTCTATTGATAGTAAGTGATATGTTGGTGTTCGGCTAGGTACTTTGCAGGCGGGGAGGGTTAGTTATGTTGTATGTATGTGATGCATGCTGGGAATGATGATTGGTGAGATCGTTTGTGGATAAAAAGAAAAATACTAGACAGCTGCGATATTTTGTTGCGATTGAGTTACTGTACTAGGAAGGGATCGCGAGAATCGCCATCTGCATCGGGGTAATGCCGCGAAAGCGAGAGGGGATGGGAATGGAGAAAGTGGTTGTTGTTGTTGAATATAGAAGGTAAGCAGCCAGGGTGGTGGTGATGATGATGCTTATGCTGCAGGGTGTGTGTAGTTACGTAGTATTTGTCTAACTACGAAACAACGATTGCTCATGTAGATGTAGGTACGGCACAGTCAGTGCTAAGCTTAGTCCCAAGTGACGCAGCAGTACCTTGGAGATGCAGGTAAGGTATAGTCAAAATCTCACAGGAGACAGTGCGGCATGTAGAGTGTAAGGCTGTATGTAACCAGTAATGCAAGTGAGGATGCAAGTACCAAGTACCTACCGATCTGTCAGTCGGTAACTATCTACTTTTCTACTAAGTGAGATACATACACACCGGCAGTGTGAGCATGTAGGAAATGCCAGCTGAGACATGCCGCGAAGGATGAGAGCGTGCATAGTGGGGAGAGAAAGAAAGAGGCCCCCAAGCTACTACTGTACTAAGAAAGTCGGAAGAGTTGAGTTGGGAGTGGAGAGGGTGCCACATTCCGTAAGGCTGTGCCATGGAACTACTACAACTAGTCTGGCCAGTAGTGGATGGAAGCAATCGAATTACTCCTCGAAAATGGGCCTGGCAGCTAGTAGCATGATGATTACTATAGTAAGTATCACTCGCGACGTAGTCTAGCCGCCAGTCGGATACTTGCATGGGCCATGATCATGGTCCAGGGATTGGATGCTGCTTACATTACCGGTGGATCATGGATTCTGGGTAGTGCTGACGGGAGTGCCTTGTTGCAAGCCATGGAACGTGGTGGTCAGGATATGTGGTTGCTTGGCGGGGTAGCGTGGGCTTGGCCGGGCGGGTAGAGAGGAGGAGGAGGAGGATGATGATGATGATGATTTATTTTTATATACTTTCTCGAGTCGGGGAAACGAAGACGGAAGGATTATTCAGCCTTGAGAAGGATGTGAGGATTTTTACACTATGTGGAGTGTGAATTTAGGTTCGATGGGGGTGATACGGAGAATTAGGAGCATGACTGCCATGCTATGCTTTTGCTTGTTTATAGAGTTAAGAATAGATCTCGAGTCCGACGCTCGGTCGCAGTACTAGGTGTGTGTGTAGAAAGCGTGTTAGATTACCGGAATGGGACATTTGAGGTTGTACAGAACGGCGGAGCAAGAGAGACAGAGAACAAAGACATTTGAGACTACTTTAAAAATAACCCTCGAGGAAAAGCAAAAACAAAAAAACAAAAGCAGGTCAGTGTTCAACGTGATCCTAGTCATCCTTGAGAAACGAGAAAGGAACGTTAAGCGTAATCCCTACCATGTCTCATCATGCCATGTGGCCGCTGGCATTACGGGGGGCCGGGTTCTGACGGCCGTTTCACCCATCGCGGTCGCATCGTTGGCTGGCAAGTCCAGGATCAACGGCTATGGATGGGTGGCCCCAGTTTCAACAGCTGCCAGGGAGCTGAACGGCGGGGTTGAGTGATCGCGAGACCACCAATAAGCAACTCATTCTGACTGAGGTACAGGAATTAGTTGGCAGTGGTCGGCAGGTGTCAAGGCACTATCATGACATTTCGAATCCTGCCGAGAAGGTGTCGAGCTGAAAAAGGATCGGAGTCACTTTCCTGTCCGGCGGTAGCAAAGCAGGGTGACCGCGCGACGGAACGAACACACGGACACCATGACGAGCTCTACTAGGGGAGGGAAGCGGCACTTGCACTGCCCTTTCTAGAGAGAATCAGCAAAGTGTGTCCCTGGCACCCGTATCTCCCACACGCCAATTGGCGCAGTCAAAGCGTCAGTCATCCACCGAGCTGAGCGGCCCGAGTTTCGAGAACGGAGACACCCAGAATTCTGGCAGGTACGTACCAAGACTAGTAGTACCGACCGCCAGTTCCACCGCCATCATAGGGTTCAGTGCATACAGATTCCCAGTGAAAGGGCGGTGGATTCCAGCGCCGACGCCAGGTGTGGCTGCATGATCTGCATGGCATTGGCTGACACGGTTCAATGATCCTCCGTGATTCCCCAGCCAGTCAGTGCCAGCCCATGGACAACCAAGACTTTTGCGGCTCGGAGGGAGATGGGCCAGCCGTAGTATGTATGGCTGTGGGAGGGTGGATATGGATGTTTTGTGGTGGTGCGAATGCGGCGCAATACGGGGTTCGTCCATCAACACGTGTAGTTGACTGTCCGTGTTCCCCTTTTTTTACTATTATTTTTTGGCCCGCTATAGTGTGGCTATTATTGCATCCCGAGACGCCGTACACTTGGGATATTCGAGAAGACGACCGACCACTTTGATCTCGAGTACGAGATTTGATCGGTCTGCGAACGGAGTTTTTGTCGCTTATGCCGTCATTCATGATCGGCCCCCGTAGGTTTGTTGTTCCTTTTCTATTTACTCCATTCTTTATTTGCTTTTACTGCATCGATGCCGAGTGATGATTACGAGAGGATCTTCGTCAACATGGTTCCAAAGGAGTAGTAAACATTGCTTATACATTGATGCACTCAAAACCGAAATCTAGTCTAACAGGTGGGTGAAACAAGAGATCGCATAATAGAAACCATAGAACAATAGTGGAAATTGATCGCGCGGGAAGAAAAAAGAGCACCATAGTCTATCCATCCAGAAAAATGTCCCCCACGACCCACAAAAACTCCAAGGCTTTCTTCGCGGCTGCCACCGAGCGAGTCCGGCTCGCTCAGGCGTGCAGCCGCCCCAACTCTAAGTCGTATCTTTAGTACAATCATCCATGTAATAAAAAACCCGAAACCAAAAACAGAACTAAACTCGACACTTGAGAATTCAACCAAGATTATGCAATCGCTCATGCAAAAAGAAAATCACCAAATAGAAGAAGGGAAATTAATAGCAGAAAGAAAACAGAGTAAAGAAAAAGGAAAGAAAAGAAAACCAAGACTCCTGGTCATGTCTGTTCCATGTTCATGCCGCTCATAACGATAACGCTCAGATAAAGTACCCGCAATCGATGGATTAGGTCGTCGTAGATCAAACAATGCGTTGACATCTGTAAAAATCAAGTGTTAGTCGTACGCTCCAACCAAACCAATTCTTGTGTTGGTCCTTACCAATTCATGTCACCGTTCTCAGGCTTTATTTCGCCGGCTTGCAGTATCCGCAGATGTTATGTTGGCAGATCACACATCTCGGCTGGTTGTCCCACAGCTTTGGTCCGTCCCCACACTGGCAGCAGAAGTATAGGCTGCCATGGTTGACCGTACCCCGGGAGTCCTGGCTGTTGATCCCAGGCATGCCATGTTGCATTGCATGGCTGTGGTGTAAGGAAGCACGGAGGATGGACTTGTTACATCCCAGCATGGACGGCATCTTTGCGACAAGGTTTCCCGACAGTTCACAGTTTTGGGGAGCTGGAGCGTGTGCGTATGGCGACAACTCGTGACAGTGGTGCGAAACAGTGTCCTGAGTATCAATGTGGCAGTTCGAGCAGCGTGGTTGATCGCACTGAAGGCAGGTGTCGTCAAGACCTAGACGGTGAGGTCCAGAGGAGCAATCGCAGCAGTACCAGACTCCAGACATGATGGTAGATGATGTTCGAGAGGTAGCTATAGAAAGTGTAGAAGGTATATTGGTATGTTGGGAAGCTATGAAGCAGCAAGCTAGAAGACAGAGACAATGGATTGAATCCGAAGCTGTTTTGGTGAATGTGTTTGTAGTAGTAGATGAGAGTGAGTGAATCCATATTGAAGGCTGGGGTTTGGAGGTTATTTAAAACCTCAAGAGAGGTAAGAGAGAAGCTCTGAGACGAGACGTTGTCACTAGCGATGATTCAGAGCCAGGCCCCAAGGCGCCCTCGCCATGGTTGTGGCTGATCTCACGAAAAGGCGCCCTCCTGGCCTTCATCTCAGTCATCAAGCAGGTGCAATGCCTGATCAACGCCGGGGCCATTCAGGTTAGGGTCGATCAACCAGAGTGGCTTGGCAACCCCATTTTCTTTTTGGGACCCCGAACAACTGCTCGTACCTGAGCAATCAGCAGTCCCAGACTGGGTTGAATCATATTGGACTTGTCTCACTAACAGACATCGTAAGATATGCTGTCCGAATGTTGACTCAAAACATTCTAGGGTCCACCGGATACCTTCGCGAAAGGCGGAATCCGCGAGGCTTGGAGGCTCTCTCGTTTTTGCCCGGGAGCGCGCGCCCACTCCGCCCATGCCCTTTTCCTGCGCTCTCTATGGCTTAATTCCCCATTTCGTAGGAAATGAGATTATTCTTCCAAAGAATATTGCTCTTTTTTTTTTATTTTTTATTTTTTTTGTTACTTGCTTATTCCCCTCTTTCCCTTTTCTCTCCCCTCCCCCTTCATTGCTTCTGGACTCTCAGAGTATGACACTGGCACTGCGGGACCTGGGCACTTCCATTCTACGCTAGACTACAGTATGTTGCCTGGTTGCGGCCTTGAAGGGGGCTCCACTTTAGTTAACAGCGCGCGCAAATACAATTCAGGCAACATCGTGCCCTGTGCCTCGAAATTCCAGATGCCGCAGTTCGAGACTCTGACTGTGACTCCCATGTTGACCGTTCATTTCCCCTAGTTGATGGGGCACCGATAAGCCTATTCGTGATTCTTCCGTCGGTCAAGCGTTCGCGACTCCTGCTGCTCCAAGTAAGCAGGCACCCATACTAGTTCTGCCTAAGCCATCCAAGCCCTTCGATCACCTGGGCACATGCCCTGCCAAAATGACGTCTTGCTCACTTTGGACGATGACTGGGTGCATTACAAACCTCATGTTTAGGTTTGTCATCGTTTGTACTCTTGTTCTCTTTTGCACTTTGCTCTTCCTGCTTGATCTTTGACTTTCTTCCTCCCGCTTGGTTTCTTTCCTGTACCGCCCTCGTTTTCCCCGACTTAGTGCTCCCCCGTGCCTATTTTCGGCTTCTCCGATCTCCCGCATGAGGCTCCATGTCATGTGCAGCCAAGACGGCCGACGCTGACTCCCTTCGGCTCCATCTCCAAACCACTAACGAACATCACCCATCACTAGCAACCGGCACTAATGTACTAATGTGCTCGCGTTTGTTCAGAGCTGAACTCGCTACGAACTAATGGGGGCCTTATCCTGAGGTTCAGCTCTACATGGTGCACCACCTACGGCATTGTCCGTAATAACGGCACAGCAATGGTGCAGCAACTGCGGGGAAACTTGTCATGGCCAGTTCTAGCTCTCCATGACATATCCGACTAACGATCCTGCCACAGCCATGTACCCTTTTGACGTTTCAACGGGGCCGTTAATTCCGATGATTATCACTCTCCTCAGCTGTAGATGTCAAACTAATTCGTGATCTCACTGTGCATCGGACCATCCTGGCAAAGTCTGGAAGCCATCAGAGCAACGGCGCACCGCATTGCAGGATATCACACGCTCTGAAACAAACTGGAAACCGTCCCGCAGGTCAATCCATACACGTGTCGATATCTACATCGATGTCAGCGGACAAGACCGTCCCGGTCAAGCAGGTTCGGCACGTATCGACAAGAATTAGCAGGTTAAGGTTTAACTTCAGGTAGAAGAATTGTCAGTGACGTGAAAATACCTCAAAGCAGCACAAGACGGGCCAGCTATGAGTCAAGCTGGCTGCTAAACATGGCTGCCTTCTGAATGGAATAATGTTGATGAAGACTGTCCCACATTCTCTCGTAGGCATCACATTGAATGGTATGGGGACATCGCGAACGTAGATAGCCCACCCCTTATCGGCACGTGATCTTGCACATGACATCATGACGGAGGTTTGCCCTGTTTGCACATGGTGCCTGTCACGTTCCTGGAAGCCTAACACTGCCAATGCAACCTCTTGCCAACTTCAGCTCTGTCCCTCATCGTCGCATATCAGTTCACACGGGCTTGCTTGTCTCGCCATTACCTCGCTCCGTGGAACCTGTATCTACTCTATGTTAATATGGATACATATGCGGGTTGACTTTCCTGAAACTGGCTAGCTGACTGTTCTCCGATGCGGAGGCGTTTGTAAGCCTTCCACGTTCTGTTTCAAATGGCGCGCCCAGATAGGCGCGTTAATATAGCGGTTGCCAGGACTATTCCGCCGTTTCTACTGTGCGTATGTGTATATGCATGCTATATTGTCACCAAGCCGTTATGCAGTATGTGCCCCCTGAGCCAATGGCTTACATCAGCCGCTAATTGTCCGAATCAGTTGACTACCTGATCCGCCCTCTCCCTAAATATTCCCGAGGCAGTCGAGTTGGCGCTGGCATAGCCATTCTCGTTATCTTCTACATACTCATTGTTGTCGTTATAATAACATATCTCCGGCTGTTGTATAATATCACCCGCAATCCCGGCTTCCTCCCCCGATCGTCCCCGCCGACGAAAGAAGAGCAAGAAACGGAACCCTCGGAACGCCCTCAACGCAGGAAGAGAAAGCACCGAAGGACAAGAACTGCTGAGAAGCCAGATAAGACGGATATAGACATCGAAAGAGGTGCAGACGGCAAGGCTGACGGTGGTGCAATTCCTTTGGATATTACCGGGTTGGAGAGTTTTTATACAAAAGATGTTTTTGTTTGCCAAGAGGATGGGAGACCACTTTATTGCTCGACATGTTGTCGCTACAAGCCGGATAGAGCACATCACTGTCGAGAGGTAGACAGATGTGTGCTTAAGATGGACCACTTTTGTCCTTGGTGAGTTCACTTTCCCAATAGTACTGTACCGGCCTGTGATTAACGCTCGATCAGGGTAGGAGGCGTGGTTTCCGAAACATCGTTCAAATTCTTCATACAATTCGTGTTTTATACCCTGATATTCTGCGTATTCAGTCTGATAATATGCGCAACCTTTACGGCAGAGATCATCCAAGATGTGAGAACGGACCTCCAACATCTCTATCATGCAACTAACCGTTATTTTGCATAGACTGGCGGAGCAAATGTCCATCTTGCCATTGGTATTGGATTGTAAGTATTTCGCCCTATGATATTCTCTAGGTCAACTTCTAACCATCAGTAGGAGCTCCCTTTTCGGGCTTTTCTCTTTCGGAATGACTATCAGCTCCTTACAGCTCGCGATGTGGAACCTGTCCACAATCGAGAACCTGAACCGTCGGTCTGCAGTCTGGACTCTGGCTATACGCGTGCCAGATCGTATGCTGGCAAGGCTCAACCCCGAGTCACGATGGGCACCCACATTCCGCACCATAACGTACCCACTGCCACCTGTGCCTCTTTCTCCTGAGGCAGCAAGAGACTACCAGCCACCAGAGAAGCAGCATGTCTTTGCCATTCTCCAAACCCTGCCTGGCGAGAATCCTTTCGACCTCGGTAGCCCCTTCAAGAACCTCCAACAGGTCCTGGGGTATTCCATCATCGACTGGTTCTTACCTCTCAAGCAGAGCCCATGTGCCGACCGCACTACAGGAGACAGCTTCTACGAACTAGGACCGGTAGTGTCCCGTCTGAAAAAGGAGGCCGGACTAAATCCTCCACCCGAATCCCAACCCACTACACAGAATGACACCGAAAGAAAACACAAGCGAAGACGAAGTTCACATAGACAATCGCAAGAGTGACAAATTGGTTAATTCATAGATCTCATTGTTTATTCCATCATACACTAGCGCCCGCATTGGCCTCCCCACCCACCCATCCCAGATTTCCTTTTTACCCTTTCATTTTTGTATTTTCTTGGATACCACCAGTCCTTTTGGCTCTCCCGACTGGTGACATTCTCCCTTTGCATACATAAATAGCTTGGGCTCTATTCTATCCATACATAACTAATACAGACTGATCCTATCTCATAACAATTACCGGTACTGCAATAGATAAATAGTTAAATAGGAAGGAATGTAGTGGTATATTCCGATTAGCCCGGAGAATACACCCGCACGTGGCAATAGCCTCAAAATTTTCCGTGGCGTAGATTTTAACCCCTCCCCGTCTATAGTAGTATCCAGGGATCAAGTTCCTTTTAGGTTCCGAAAATCATATGCTATACCCGAACTTTATCTGCACTTCATTCTTGTGATCGCCATCAG